TGTGGGCAGCAAACTGTAGGACTGGGTGACTCACTGAGTTATTTATTTCTAAAATTATTGCATCTTCATGTTTTTGTAAAAATACATTCAGCCTCTATATTGAAATTAATTTTCCCTTTTTATTTTTATTAACAAAAATAACAGGCACAAAAGACAACACATTCTTAATAATTTCAACTCAGTTTGAACACGGTACTACATTTGGTACCATGTACACATTTTCAATATGTAATTTTATATCACTTCATAAACAGTTGTCTTAATTCTGCCAGGTTTAAAACCAGCTTACTATGTGATTTTTATCATGGTCTATAGTGGTATGAGTGAGACATAGCCCTATAGTTTCAGGCATTTGGATACCTGATCTGCAGTTAATGATGGTGCTTAGGAAGGTTTAGGAGGTGCTGGCTAGCTGAAGGAAGAATGTGACTGGGTGTGAAGTGGGCTTTGAGAGTCTAAGGCCTTGCTCTACATTGGATTCTTTCTCTCTTTTCTTTTTGAAGTTCAAGATGTGAGTCCTCAGCCTTCTGTTCCTGCTGTCTGCTTCCATTCTGTCACCACCATGATGGATTCTTGCTCTAGAGAACCATAAACCAAATTAAACTCTTTCTTCTGTAAATTGCCTTGCTCACTGTAGTTGATCACAGCAGCAGAAAAGTAACTAATACAGAGTACAACATTTCAAGATTGTTGTCTGATCATCAGTGACTTCTTGGGTAGTTGGGGCATTCACAGCTTATTTCCAATAGCAGGGCAGTATAATGTAGTGGTAGGTGCGTATGCACTGGCTCTGGGTTGCTATGGGACAATGGTTTTACACTGTAAAGATTTGCTTCTTGTACTTTTAAAATAAAACACTGATTGGCCAGGCAGGAAATATAGATGGGGCAATGAGAATTCTGGGAAGATGGAAGTTTCTGTCTGCAGTCATGTCCCAGATGCAGAGGACGCAAGATGTGACTGACTCGCTGAAAAAAGGTATCAAGCCACGTGGCTAACACAGACAAGAATTATGGACTAATATAAGTTATAAGAGTTAATAATAAGCCTGAGATACAAGGCCAATCAGTTTATAATTAATGTAGACCTCTGTGTGATTTCTTTAAGACTTAATGACTGTGGAAACTGGGCAGGACAGAAAACTCAGTCAACACTGGGTTTCTGGGATTGTAATCTCACTGTTGTATTTTTCTAAATTTGTGATCTTGGACATTTTACTTAATTGATTTAAATAAATAATTATTTATAAAATAGGAATAACCTAGAGCTATTGTGCTTCTTTTTATCTTTTAAATAAAGATAATATACACAACTTGACTAGTGAATACTAAATTGGTAGGTTGTACATAGCAAGAATAGTTTGGAAACCCAGAAGGAAGGAAGGTGCTCTTGTACACAGAAAAGAAAAGCCTAAAGTGACTTCAATTATCTTTCTTACTAATAGAAACCCAATATAGCTGCATAGAGAATTGATGGAAACTGGCTCAAATTTTCATTGACAATTACAACAGAATATATTTGAAATGTAAAAGACCTGACCAATTAATGTTTATCAAGTAATGTCTAAGAGCATAAAGCTCTCCAAGGATGTGCAAAGACTTTCATTTCTACACTGTGGTATATTCCAGAAGAAAAGGAGAAGCAACCACTAATAGACATGCTCAGCAGCATAGAGTCCTCTTGCCTAGTAATTAGATTATGGCCACAGCCTTTCTGACTTAGACCAGTCCATGTCATCCATGTTCATGGAAGCTCAGCACTTGACTGCTTGAGGCAGAGTGCTTTGGTTTGAAGCCAAGGTCTGTTACTCACTGAATCTATGACTCGGGACTAATTACACACTGACTTCTTTGCTTCAATTTTTTCAACATTTGAGAAGCAAATTATACTAGAACCTACTAGATAAAAATGGAATAAAAATGAGAAAATAATTGAGGCATACTTTAAAGCACCACATAGAAGAAGAAAGAATTATAAAACTTCACTGATGTTGTTTAAGTATACTTTGTTCTTAAAAAAAAAAAAAAAACATGACAAATACATGGATAGGGAATTAAACAGTCCTTGATGGGAGAGCAGCTAAATTTCTGTCTTCAGAATTGTCTTGTCACATTCTTTGTTTTTCACACCTAAGAGTTCTTTCCTACAAACGAACTACACAAAGGACCTTGGAGGTAAATTGAATTATTAGGGAATCTGATTTAAAAACAGACACCATTTTCCTCACAGTATGAAGGGGAAAGCCTTATGATTCACCAGTGATAGCAAAATTACAGCCAACAACTAACATGGTTCTGGTCAGAGAACCCAGGGCATTCTAAAGAGAAGAAGATGATGCAATCTGGAGGCAGAACAGATGTCTCAGTACCCATTCTACCACTGCCCTCATAGACCTACATATGTATTTGACATGAAACCATCCATCATGAGACTATATGTTCATCTCCTCTGTACCTAAGTATGGCTAACTGTCTAGGTGTTGCCACTAAAACACTAAGATTATGTGGCAAGTAGAGACTATGGTGACTTGAAAATTTGCATATATTTTTCAACCCCTTCTTCTAGTTCTTTCTTGCCCTATGAGTCTGGCAAGATCACACACAGTGTGTGTGTGTGTAGTTTTTGACAAGGGTGCAATGCACAAGTCTAGACATGCACTCTACACACAGCTGCATTTTGGGCATCATTCTGGCTGCACTGTGCAGATCTAAGGAATCACAGCAAGACACTAAGATGAAAGATGTGAAAGATTCAAGCAGCCACAGTCCCCAAACTGGGACACCACAGCACCATTTCTGGAGAGCTTGCTTCCACATTTAGTTTTGAGAGAAGTTGGATGACTAACCTGCTATTGACAGGTATTGTGTGAGGCCTATCTTAATTCTAGTTTATAACACTGTAAGAGTCATCATGTACCTTCCCTGATTTATACAAAATGCAGCAATAAGCAGAACGCTGAAGTGCATCTGGGACTGTGAGCAAAGTCATCCCACGTATTTCTTCCGACATATACATAAGGCTTTCCACCTCAAGGGAAAACTCAACTAACCAGAGTACAGGAAGCCGCTCCAATTAAGGAGGTAGATTATAGATGCTCCCTTTGGGGGAATGGAGTGGGAGGGGTCCCGCAAGACTCTATTATCTATATAAAGAATAAATAAAACTCATAGATTTTTAAAAATATTTTTCTAACTTTTCCGAAGCTTGTTAATGGCANAAAAAAAAAAAAAAAAAAAAAAAAAAAAAAAAAAAAAAAAAAGAATACACCAGCTTAACTGTTAAAAATGGTACAGGAGTTGAAAGTGTTATTTGCCAAAGCATTTCTAATTTCGAGTGTATTTCCTACAGCAGTATTATCTAGTTCTTAGGGACTCAGCCTTACAAAGTGAGCACATGTCTTCCTTTAGCTACAGTGTTCTTGGAATGCTTTTGTCTCTATTTGTATGAGTCTGGTCTAGTCTTCAATGATCTCTTCCTTTCTCTGGAAATGACAATACTCTCTCTAATTCCCAGTATTAATTCTACAACATGAAATAGACTACCTTTCCCACTACACTAATGCCAGTAATCATCATGTTTCATTCCTCGAAGAGTATGTCCTCTGGAACATATAGTTATTAGCCTTTACACTTACTTTGTTCCTCCATGTGTTCACTTAGTCAACGGAGAACTGATTAAATGTCTCTTTACGCTATGCTAAATAGCGCACATGACAAAGGAGAGATGTGAGGAAAAACCAAATCTACTCCATTCATTCAGAGAATGAGTTAACCCTAAGTGGGCAGAGACAGTGGGACAGTGGGCATGTCTAGGACAACACAATCAGCAGGAAAATATACAGAAGATTCAAAAAACAGCGCTGAATTCTTCTGGTAAAGGAATCAGAGAAAAGTAATGACAAAAGTATGAACTCTTGAATTCATCCTCTGCCAAGGTTAATAAGCAGATGAGTGGATGAAAATTAGGGCCAGCGAGATAGCGAGCGCATGGCCAACCTCAGGGCAAGTTCAGTTTCACATGACTAAAGACTCGAGGTGAGAAAAAAGGCTCAAGAGGCATTAGGAGTAGCGACTGTCAACTTCCACCCAGCATTCAAACACAACATAAAATGAGCAAGATTGTGATTGACTGCTATGGTCTGCTATAGGCACACATACCATATGTACACTGGGCAGCTGCCATTGGGCATACTCTCCACCTGACCGCATCTATAACATTTACAGGAGTGCAAGTCAAACTAAGTCAGGATTGCAATGCACTGTCTCAGTGGTGTCCATTTCCTCGGAGAAGGAACTGGGGCTACGGTTTAAGTAGTATAATGGTTTCCAGAGAATAATGCTATATTGATAAATGCCAATATAGAATTAATTGCATATATGGTCACTCGAAATCCTAGGTAGAGAAGATTTGGGAACAAATTAGTTTCCTTCAACAGGCTTATTCTCCTGCTCAATTTGGAACAAGTCAGCACTATTTTAAGTGATGGAAGGAAGACAAATTTTAGGCTCACATGAAAAGGGAAATTCTGCAGATCAAATAAAGTAGCACACTATTGTTCCTTACATATATGAAGAAAACTGATACACAATGTTATTATAAATTGTCATAGGGACGAAGAGATCAGCATCACACATGTTTATAAAATTCCTTAGAAAAAGTAAACTCTATAATAATAGTATTAGCATTTTTCATAGGCATCCCAAAAGATTAAATAGTGTTCAACAAAGAAGGAAATTACATTCCAAATGGTAACGGACACACATTTTCTATATTCAGAAATTTTCTAGCTTCCATATTCAGGTACATTTTTTCTAAGTATCACATATTTACAAGAGTTCTCTGGTCTCTGTTTTCCTCTTTGCTAGGAAAGTTCCTATTATATTTCCTGAATCTTTGCTCCATCATTTTCCTTTAGGCAGAGCCTACAGAACAGAGGACAAGAAGCACTGGCTCCAACACACAGCTCAGGGTGAAAGGAAGGAAAGAAGCTGCTTTCATACCTTCAATAGGTTTTGGTACAAAATGAGATGAGGGCTTGGTTTTCTTCACTCTGTTCCCCTTCATGATTTGACCTTCTTTATTGAGTCCTAGAAACCATGCACGCCCTGATTCCTGCTGGCGATACAGGGTTGAAGAATAGATCACATAGTAGTTTTCAAACACAGACTCCTTAAATTTGCATTCTGGGGTAAAAACGTCCTGCAGAAACAAGCACAATGAAGAGAAAGGAATTAGCAATGAATCAGCAATGGCTGCATCCAGCCAGTTTTAAACATATCCCCAGAGTTCAGAATAAGGCACAGGAAGCTGAACGAGATTTCAGTTAGGGCTCCTATAGAGAGTCATTATATGAAATCAAAACTCAAGATTCTTTTTATTACCAACTTTTAGTCCAGAGAAAACAGCTGCTTAGATATGGTCACACTCATTGGAGGCTAAAGCCCTGGATAGGTCTAAAATCTTAGCAAGTCAAATGTTCATAAATCAAAGTTTTTGGCCAGTCCTCATTTTCGCGGCTGTTAGCATCGAGTTAAATCGGTAGAACTTATCCCTAATCAAAATCAAAATGCAACCACACACAACACAGGGACACCAGATGCTTTTGAAGCAAATGTGTGATATGCACAAAAATCTAAGACGCAGCAAAACACTTGCCCCTATACTTATCAGTATGCTGCTACTTTGCTTGATGCCTGTAGCTTCCCCTTTAATTCATTTAATGTCTGTAGCTTTACCTTTAACTCATTTCAAATGAATACTTAATAATAAAAATGTTAGTTTGAGGCCAGCATGGTCTACAAGAGCTAGTTCCAGGACAGGCTCCAAAGCTACAGAGAAACCCTGTCTCCAAAAACAAATCATCAAGCAGTAGGAGAAAGTACTCCTCTTGAAGAATCCTCCGTGAAATCTAGAATGACACTGCTATTCCAGGAAGAAATATTAAGAACATCTACTTCAGCCTCATCTCTTAAGTGAGAAAATCAAAATGCTAAAGAGTTCGTTAAAAGATGCATGAAAATAAAATTGCAAACCAATATCAGAATTTACTCTTAATTGTGTTATTTTTGGTTGTGAGCCTAGCCTGTAATAGCTGAGCCATCTCTCCAGCCCTTTTAATTGTGTTATAATCTCAGACTCGCCTCTCAGACTCACCACTTCTGTTTCTAAAGATGCATAATACAATTTTATAATAAATACAATAAAATAACACCTTAATATGCCAGTGAATGAAATGTATCTTTCTAAAGATGAATTGCCTCTTCTGAGATAAGCAAAAGAAAAATGTGATAGGATGCTACCAGCTAAAACCAAGTAAACCCCCTCCCCGTGCCAAGCATGCCCGCCATAATGACTCTTTGTCACTGCACACTGCAAAGTTTGCAATGTGAAGCCTCACAAATTGATGCATTTACGCAGAGAACTGCACAAACAGTGACTGCGTAGAAATAAAGATGGCAGGAACCATGTCTTTATAGATGATAGTCCTGCCTTCATTTAGAGAGAGATAAACAACTAGGAGGCTAGTGATGGTGGAGAGTTCTAAAGATGCCACCAAAAGGACACCTGTGATTTGAAATGAGTTTCATATTACTGAACAAAAGATGGGACTGAGAAAATGGAAATGCAATAATAATAGTAACAGTACATTAACACCATTTATATTAAAACTGAAAATGACAATTCTTGTAGTACTCTTCAATTTAAGAATAATATCCTGGTTATCTTGGAAATAAATGACTATAAGATATTAATGTGAGGCTGATAGAAACTGCCCAGTTAAAAATGTTGATAAAGATAAGATTGTGAAAAAAAAATCTGTAGCTCTCACAGATTGCTGATAGGACTACAAAGTGGAGTAATAGAAAAGGAAGTGGCCTGACATTTTCCCAAAAGAATAAAAATACAGTTAGCAAGGATTCAATCATCTTACTCCTAGCCATGAACCTCTAGGATGTGAAAACATGAATATAAGAAAATTTATACATACATGTTGAGAGTAGTATTGATTACAGAAACAACTTAAATGTCTATCACCTGTTGAGTAGATGAACAAAATGTGGCATAGCTGTATAATGTACTGCTATTCATTGGGAGGAGTAATGGGATACTGATTCATTTGAAAATATAAATGAGCTACATGGTGCAAATGCTAAATGTTATTTGATTCCATTTAAATGAAACATTACAACAGGGTTTGTAATATTGCATATAATGAGAAACCCATCTCAGAGATGGAAAATAATGGATGTCAAGTGCTACCATGGAGCTGGAATAAAACAGAGAATGACTGCTTCCCTGAAGAAATGGAAATGAAGCCAGGTGGTGGGGGCGCACGCCTTTAATCCCAGCACTCGGGAGGCAGAGGCAGGTGGATCTCTGTGAGTTCGAGACCAGCCTGGTCTACAAGAGCTAGTTCCAGGACAGGCTCCAAAACCATAGAGAAACCCTGTCTCAAAAAGCCAAAAAAAAAAAGAAAAAAGAAAAAAAGAAAAGAAAGAAATGGAAATGAGTCTGAATTAAAGAGTTCTGATATTTGTGTACCTTTGTAGAAATACAAAAATCTACTGAAAGTCTTTAAGTGCAAATTTTATTGTGTGTATATTATATTTAATAAAAAATCATAGAAACAAATTGGCTGGAGAAGATGAGAGGAGAAAAGAAAACTATTGCATGTTCTTGCCTGGCAGCACTGGTCTTAACAAGGTGTGCTCTGTGTGCCACCATGTCCATATTACCAAGAAAGAGTCAAATCCTTGCCAAATATAGATGCTAAAGAAGTACAGATTCAATTAGCAAAAAGTATCATCATCAGTCTTTTCAGGTTTGCATGCTGGCACCGAACCCAGGCCTTGTGTATGCGCGGCAAGTGCACTGCTCTGAACTGCATCACCAGGCCAGTATTGGTCTGTTTTTCAAACTGATGAACTTCCTGATGCAACTTAATATTAAAAGAAAAATAGCTTATTTGAGCTGGTAGTTTTAGAGGCTAAAAGGGTTCTAGATAGATGATACAAAGGAGAACAATGGGGTAACAGAAATCATTTCACAAAATAGGAAGTCAGAGACAGACATGGATTCCCCAGTGCCTCCTAAGACCAAATTCTTAGTTGACTTAAGGAATTACCACTATGCCCCACCTCTTACTGGTCCTGCTACCTTCCAATATTGTCAATCTATAAGAACTCAAGTTCTGGTTTGGAACTAAGTTGAAAGATTTAGAAAAAGTTTAAATTTGCTATTATTTTAAAAGTATACTGGGGGTTTAGAGAGAACATTTTGTAGGTAAAATGTTTACCAAGCATGAGAAACTATAATAGATCCCACAGAACCCAAATGAAAACATTGGGTCTGTCTGGGTCAGCAGAGACAGACAGATCTGTGAGACTTACTGGCAAGCCAGTCCAGCTGAAACAATGAGTCCCAGGTTTGGTGAGATTTGCTGTCTTGAAGTATAATATGGAGATATATTTGGAAGAAACCTATCATTAACCTCTCTGACCTCTGCACACATATGCACATGCATGCAGGTGCACTCACGTGAGTATATATACACACAAGCCCAAGATGACTGAATAATTTCACTTTTGTGTCTTGATCTATCTCAATACTCAAGAAACATAGTATTATCTCTAGATGTTAAGGGGTTTTGAGACTCCAGAGAGAAACCTTAGGGTACCGAATCTGCATGGGCAATGACTTGCAGTATAACCTCTACTATACAACTGCTGTTTCAGTTTCAACATAAAGTTGGGCATCTGTGAATTTACACTATATTTTCTACTACACTCTTTTTGCATGATAAAAAATAGAAATCCTGGACTTGGAGTACCTACCAATAAAGACTGTGCTTCTACTACCATACATATTTTATTATGAGACTTCAAGTCAGTGGCTAAAACCCAAATTTCATATTTTTCAGATGAAAAAAGAGGCACGCCAAGAGAAAGAGTTGATCCAGATGGACACACGTTATGAACTTTCAGAATGTATGCAGCACCATGTTCGCGTTATCCATGTAACAGAATGATTGAATATTTCCTCACAAGAAGCTATTAGATTCTGTGCTTTTGTCACGCATTTGTGTGTTGCCTATCGTCCGGAAAGGCATGCACAAGCACACTTGACACGAAGTGCATAGTCCTTTAAAAGCCTTTGGCCAAGACCTAGACACTCACATACATTCAGATGGATTCTAAGATCTTTAAATGCCTGTCTAGACTGGCAGTTCATCTGGTATGCAGTGAAGACACTCTGGGAGCCAAAGGTGACAAACCCTAGAATACCTTGACCAAGACTGAAATCAGAGCCATGGGCAGTATAATAAGGAAGAGTTTTCCCTCTTGAAAATTCAAATTGCAATTTGTGAATTCTTATGTCTGTGATCTTGAGCTCTTACCTTATTGCAGAAATTACAATAAGGTTTATAGAAACATGTTTTGATGAAGCAGAACCTCCCAATAAGTGCATCATGTACGTAGAAGACGGCAATGCTTATGATACAACCCAGTCACTTACTTTTAAAAATTATTCATCTATTAGAATATGCATTACTTCAGTAGAATATGAATAGGTTGATAGTGTTCAGATACAAATATTTATCAGAGGTTTCCGTGCTTTGGTTCTAGTACTATCTAAGCCTGTGGCAAGCTCCTTTTCACCTTCTGAACATGTCTCCAGCCTAGCCTTGTTCTTAACAAACAGTTCAGAACACCCATCCACTTCAGTCCGGAGGATGAATGAAAGCCAAATCATTCCCTAAGTCCTTGAAGCTCAGCCAGTATCCCATCCCACCTGGTTCCAGTCTGATTCTGCAGAATTCTAGAGTTACACCTTCAAAGTGAAGGCTGTACTTGGATTTACTCTCATGTCAGATTTATTCCTGACATTTTTCTTCACTTAGCTTTCCATGTATATCCATACATGGTCTCTGTCTTCCTAGTCTGTAGTTGACAACGATTTCCTTTAGACCAGGCTTTAACTGTGGCAATACAGCCAGTTCCTAGCTTCATTTAACTGCATTTTCTTGGAAGATGCAAATATCACGAAGAATAGGAGATGGAAATTGAGAGATCCTAGTGAAAATATGACTAAAATGCTGTATGTTTTTCATAGTTGCCTACACTGACATAGTTGACACTCCTCAAATGCCAGTTCCTGGGCACACTGCACTTCCTACGTGAACAATGATGATGACATTC